CACAGAATCAGATGTTACGTGATGAGAAATCGCAACAATGGAGGGGAGAGGGGGGGGGGGGAGTGAGCGTGTAGGAAGGAAGGGAGAAACGAGAGAGAAGGGAAGGACCAGAGAGAGAGAGAGAGAGAGAGAGAGAGAGAGAGAGAGAGAGAGAGAGAGAGAGAGAGAGAGAGAGAGAGAGAGAGAGAGAGAGAGAGAGAGGGAGAGGGAGAGGGAGAGAGAGAGGGAGAGAGAGAGAGGGAGGGAGGGAGAGAGAGAGAGAGAGAGAGAGAGAGAGAGAGAGGGAGAGAGAGAGAGAGAGAGAGAGAGAGAGAGAGAGAGAGAGAGAGAGAACTGCAACAGGGAAACCACTTGTATACACAAGCACGTGACCGCACTGAACTCTCGTATAACTTACCCCCCCCAAAAAAAAAAGAAAAAGAAAAAAAAAAAAAACATTCGGTTTTGATGTGGTCGGTGTCACGTGACATAGACATAGACAATACTTGCATTAGATTTCGTAAGATAGTTATGAAAACATATTGTATATTTCTTGAAAAAAGTTTGTTATTTCAGGAAAGATATGAATAAAGAATCTTTTTAATTTATACTAAGATTTCCGTTAGGTTGTTCCTGAGCTTTGTATTTGTTCGGAAGTTGTAAAATTAGATTTAAAAAAATGAACTTTAACTGTGACGGTTTGAACGGTGCGAAGTGAAGTTAATCTATTTTATGTTAATGTTTTATTTTATTTTATTCATTTATTCTAATAGCTATTCATAAAAACATTAATCAATTTCATAACAGTGACATGGCATATTCAAATACTTTTGATCGTGAAAGCAAGAAAAAAAAATCATATGCCATCAAGACCGATAAACAAACAAGCAAAAATACGACAAAAAGGGAAAAAAATAGAACAATATTATTCATGATTTTTAAAAACTATTGGAAACCATCGGGAATTCAGGAATAACGTCGTAAACAATAGAGGAAGAGAGAGGGAGAGGGGAGGAAGAGAGGGAGAGAGGGAGAGGAGGAGGGAGAGGAAGAGGGAGAGGGAGAGGGAGAGGAAGAGGCAGAGGTAGAGAGGGGGAAGGAGAGAGGGGAAGGGAGAGGGGTAAAAGGAGAGGGGGAAGGAGAGAGGGGAAGGGAGAAGGGGAAATGGAGAGGGGGAAAGGGAGAGTGAGAGGGTGAAGGAGAGGGTGAGGAAAAAGGAGAGACAGAAAGAGAGAGACAAAGAGAACGAGAGAGAGAGAGAGAGAGAGAGAGAGAGAGAGAGAGAGAGAGAGAGAGAGAGAGAGAGAGAGAGAGGAGAGAGAGAGAGAGAGAGAGAGAGAGAGAGAGATAGAAAGTCGATGAAATAACTCAAGTTTTTCGGAATGTAAACACAGCATTTCTTGACCCCATAATCCTTGAAAGATTTATGCCCGCACTCTACGCCTTATCTTTATTCCCAAACCGTGAATATCTACAGTGGGTATATGTTTTTTTCCCTTTTCTTTTTTTTTCTTTTTTCTTTTTTTTTTTTTAGTCCCTCTTCCCTCGCCCTCGTTTTTTTTTTTTTTTTTTTTTTTTTTGTTCGTCTCCCGTTGCCGGTTGGAGTGGATATCGCACGGTGATATTTTATTTTTTTATTTATCAATCTTCTCTTTATTACGTGTAGTACATAAAATTATGTGGATGAAATTGAACGTATATGTTATGTGGATGAATGTGCGTGTTTTCGGCACAAACACACACGCACACACACACACACACACACACACACACACACACACACACACACACACACACACACACACACACACACACACACACACACACACACACACACACACACACACACACACACACACATACACACGCACACACACACACACACACACACACACACACACACACACACACACACACACACACACACACACACACACACACACACACACACACACACACACACACGCTAACGTCAACATGTATAATATCCATATTCATACATTAATCTATGGATATCTTATAGGCTATACATATCAAATGTTAGAATAATATAAGGAGGGAGGGGGGGGGGGAGATGGAAGGAGGGAGAGAGGAAAGGAAGGAGGGAAGGAAGGAAGAAGGGACGGAGGGTGAGATTGAGGGAGGAGGGAGGGAGGGAAGGAAGGAAGGAAAGAGGGAGGGAAGGAAGGAAAGGAAGGAGAGAGGGAAGGAAGGAGGGACGGAGGGTGAGATTGAGGGAGGGAGGGAGGGAGGGAAGGAAGGAGGGAGGGACGGAGGGTGAGATTGAGGGAGGGAGGGAGGGAGGGAAGGAAGGAGGGAGGGAGGGAGGGTGAGATTGAGGGAGGGAGGGAGGGAGGGAAGGAAGGAAGGAGGAGGGAAAGAAGGAAGGAGTGAGGGAAGGAGGGAGGGAGGGAAGGAAGGAAGGTGGGAGGGAGGGTGAGATTGAGGAGGGGAGGGAGGGAAGGAAAGGAGGAGGGAGGGAAGGAAGGAAGGAGGGAGGAGGGTGAGATTGAGGGAGGAGGGAGAGAGAGAGGGAAGGGAGGAGGGAAGGAAGGAAGGAAGGAGGGAGGGAGGGAGGGAGGGAGGGAGGGAGGGAAAGAGGGAGGGAGGGAGGGAGGGAAGAGGAAGAGATAAGGAGGAGGGAGGGAGGGAAAGAGGGAGTAAAAGAGTGAGGAGGAAGAAGGTAGATAAGAGGAAGGGAGAGAAAACATATATATATATATATATATATATATATATATATATATATATATATATATATATATATATATATATATATATATATATATATATATATATATATATATATATATATATATATATATATATATATATATATATATATATATATATATATATATATATATATATATATATATATATATATATATATATATATATATATATATATATATATATATATATATATATATATATATATATATATATATATATATATATATATATATATATATATATATGTATATAGATATCTATTTGTACGTGTATTTGCGTATACACTGAATATGCAGCCTCTGCGGACGAACAGTTTTAACAGGCTGCTATTGCCTGTATAATGGGAAAACAAATCCAATTACACACAATGCTAGGATTCGAATTTTAAGCGCGATTCGATCACACACGACGGACCCGATGCTGTGATGGCGGGCTCCTCTGGCGCTGTTATTGTTACGGGGAATTCATTTGGTTTCGTTGTTTTTTTGTTGTTGTGTGTTTTTTTACATTTTATTTTTTATGATGTTTTTGTTTCTGTCTGTCTCTGTGTCTGTCTATTTGTTTGTTTGATTTTTCTTTGTTTCCCTCTCTCTCTCTCTCTCTCTCTCTCTCTCTCTCTCTCTCTCTCTCTCTCTCTCTCTCTCTCTCTCTCTCTCTCTCTCTCTCTCTCTCTCTCTCTCCCTCTCTCTCTTTCCTTCCCTCTTTCGAAGCACATAAATCGCAAAATATAAACACACTTTCACCACATCAGCAAAAACATAAAAGACGTGATCTCTCTCTCTCTCTCTCTCTCTCTCTCTTTCTCTTTCTCTCTCTCTCTCTCTCTCTTTCTCTTTCTCTCTCTCTCTCTCTCTCTCTCTCTCTCTCTCTCTCTCTCTCTCTCTCTCTCTCTCTCTCTCTCTCTTTCCTTCCCTATTTCTAAGCACATAAATCGCAAAATATAAACACAATTTCATCACATCAGCAAAACATAAAAGACGTGATCTCTCTCTCTCTCTCTCTCTCTCTCTCTCTCTCTCTCTCTCTCTCTCTCTCTCTCTCTCTCTCTCTCTCTCTCTCTCTCTCTCTCTCTCTCTCTCTCTCTCTCTCTCTCTCTCCCTCTCTCTCTTTCCTTCCCTATTTCTAAGCACATAAATCGCAAAATATAAACACACTTTCATCACATCAGCAAAACATAAAAGACGTTATCAAGAAGCAGTTTACTCGACAGAGAAACTTGTTATCATGTAAAATCCAAAGCCAGTGACATGAGTCTCTGTAAAACATGTGGCGGTTTTATTGAAAGAAGTGAATTGTGTCGAATTATTAGCCGCTTTATTTATTTCTCTATTTTTATTATTTTCACTATTATATTTTGGGTGGGGGTTGACGTGACCGAGAGTATGTGGCATTATGTGGTTGGAGTTATACAATACGTTACTCCATACATTTAGAGTAAGAGCTACGGTTAAGGTGACGGTTAATGTGTCAAATGTATATGCGTGTTAAAAGTATTTGGACTATTCTGCTTCGCATATATATGAAATAAAAGAAAAATTCTTTTCTTTTATTTCATATCATTTTATTTCAAAATCATCTCTCTCACTCTCACATATTCTCTCTCTCTCTCTCTCTCTCTCTCTCTCTCTCTCTCTCTCTCTCTCTCTCTCTCTCTCTCTCTCTCTCTCTCTCTCTCTCTCTCTCTCTCTCACATATTCTCTCTCTCTCTCTCTCTCTCTGTCTCTCTCTCTCTCTCTCCGCACACGCACGCACACACACACACACACACACACACACACACACACACACACACACACACACACACACACACACACACACACACACACACACACACACACACATATATATATGTGTGTATATATATGTATATATACATATATATATATATATATATATATATATATATATATATATATATATATATATATATATATTGTTTGTATGTGTGTTTATTAGTGCGTGTGCGTGATTTGGCTCTGTTTCCCTTGTCTTTGTAAAGGTCTAGAAAGGGGAGACTTGATTATCAACAACTATGATTTACTGCAGTTGCATGCTTACAAATGCTTGTAAACAGCGACCACAGGAGGAAAGATTTTTTTCTTAATATTAAAAGAGCATATTTCAATATAACCTTGAAAATCTTTGGCATGTTGATTTAATCCAATATTTAAATGCAAATAGCGGATATTCATCGTGATTTATGGTACTAATAATGTCGCAACTTTTGCAATAGTGTTCATGGTGCATATTGGACGCGTAAACTAAATGTAAACTTGATATTTCAG